ATGTGTGGGGTTGATGGAATTCGAGGCCCACTGCTCGTCCAGGTATCACTCTCCATTGACGTGCCTCGGGGCTGAGCAACAAAGTGGGGTCACTGGGTTCGTCGGGGAGTGCACTAACCACTGCGTCACTGCCCCCATTACAAACATCATCGGGCACATTTTTTCTGCCTCGTTCTTTTAATTAACGTTTACGACATGCGCACACGCCTTGAATCATGATCCTTGTTAAAGCCCCAACGCAGAAGATCCCGGGTTTGATCATGGTCCACCCTAAACCGCATCCACTGCACAAACCACGGCAGATGTTGATACCTGATGGTGATACCCGATGTTGATACCCGATGGTGATACCTGATGTTGATACCTGATGTTGATACCTGATGGTGATACCTGATGGTGATACCTGATGGCGATACCTCATGGTGATACCTGATGGTGATACCTGATGCACGAATGGGAAATTTCAACCTCCGCAGTGTGCGACTGTGGTCATCCAGAACAGATCACACAACGTATAACGACGCAATGGCCGATGCACAAATACGAAGAAGACATCGCAGCGATACACTCCGGCGCTCGTGACGCGGTCGTCTGGCTGGAGCAGCTGCATGTGGAATTGTAGCTGTTGCTCTGCATCTACATCAGCCGAACGAAAGACGAGAATGAATCGTGATTAACATCCTTCTTGTTCCAGCTCTGCGTCTTCCAATACCAGGCCACGTGAGGGCACTGTTGAGATAAACACAACAGCTGTTCTTCCGTTGCGTCTCCAGAAAACATCGCGCCTGAAGGTTGATATGCCATCAACCACTGAAGGTTGATATGCCATCAACCACTGAAGGATGTTGATATGCCATCAACCACTGATAGATATTGATATGCCATCAACCACTGAAGGTTGATATGCCATCAACCACTGAAGGATGTTGATATACCATCAACCACTGAAGGTTCATATGCCATCAACCACTGAAGGATGTCGATATACCATCAACCACTGAAGGTTCATATGCCATCAACCACTGAAGGATATTGATATGCCATCAACCACTAAAGGTTCATATGCCATCAACGACTGAAGGATATTGATATGCCATCAACCACTGAAGGTTCATATGCCATCAACCACTGAAGGATATTGATATGCCATCAACCACTGAAGGTTCATATGCCATCAACCACTGAAGGATATTGATATGCCATCAACCACTGAAGGTTCATATGCTATCAACCACTGAAGGATATTGATATGCCATCAACCACTGAAGGTTCATATGCCATCAACCACTGAAGGATGTTGATATGCCATCAACCACTGAAGGATATTGATATGCCATCAACCACTGAAGGTTCATATGCCATCAACCACTGAAGGATGTTGATATGCCATCAACCACTGAAGGTTCATATGCCATCAACCACTGAAGGATATTGATATGCCATCAACCACCATCCGTTGCTGCCGCAAAGAGCAACCCAAACGTTTACCCAACCTCTTGTTCTCTTCGAACAAATTCATGACGCTGCAGAGGACTCATAGCCGACCACGCCATAGCAAACAAAACGTCGCCAGAACCATCATCCGTGTTTCAAATACAAGCAGAACTTGGTTTTGTCTGTACACGTGATCCTTGTGGCGGTACCCTGGGGCACCAAATAACACAAAATGGCCGAGGCAATTAAATATTTGACTTCTGGGACACTATTTGTTTCTAGGGGTGTACTTCACTCCGCGACTGGGGTACCAATCAAGCCGACATCGGTGCCACTCCGCGATGTCGAACGCAGCGAGGACGATTGCGCCGAAACCCCAAACGCTCGCGGTATGCACCGTGGTGGTGCATCATCGTGTACAGCTCGTCCAGATGAGTCGATTGCCGCATTGCCGACCATCAACAGACTAAGAATGACTGCGTCACGGACATTGTGCGAGAGCTGGGGTACTATGGTACCGCCATAAGGTTCATATACATTAAACATATACTGTATTTACTTCATCACCCTATTGGTTTTCGGGACCAATATGAATCTGCAGCATTATGTTTAAGCAAGGCAAACTCTGGACTGGTTTTGCCCTTCTGGGTCTCATTAGCAGGTTCCAGATTGTAAGACACGTGCTGCTTCTGACTTGCCAGATGTTACTGACACAAGCACTCAAGGTAACTGATGGCACCCAATATACAAACGCAATATTGCATACAATGCTGCGGTAACGTTCTCCTCAATTAATTAACATTTTCAAATAAACCACCTCAATGACACAACCTCCTTCACAATCATGATACTTTTTTACGAATGAATCATCTTCATAAACAAAGTAAGGTCAAGAGTTGCATGCCTTGGGTCTGCTGGGACCTAATCAAGTGTTGTTCAATCACAATTGGAATCCGATTTTGAGCTGATCAGATGAAATGCTAATTTTCTCCAATTCAATATCGGTCTTGATCTATAAACAGCCCATCATGCTGAACTTCTTTCGCACCGTACGCAGCCAACCGCGCTAACCGGAGGTTAGGGCGAAGGACAACAAATTAAAGACAAAAAGCAACAACAACAACAACAACAACAACAGAGACGTAAGGTATTTGACACTATATTTTGTTGCTTTGAATAGCGGTACACGGGTAAAAAGGTTTATACAGGTAGGAACAACAGTTCCACACTGCCCACCAGGGATCATTTGTCTGTCGTGCATAGCCCCTCCCAAACATGTAGCACGCTCCCGGATTGGTTGAACTGTTACCTGATCGCCAGCTCTCTGTCGTGCACGAATGCTCTGTCCAACCAAGTTCCTACCTGCCCACTCCGAAGGAACGTTTTAAATATCAGCGAACATTAGCAGCGTTGGCAATCTAAGACGCGGTATTGCCGATCCCCAGTGATGGAGTAGCATGGCGCCACGCACGCGTTACTCGGCACGGGAGGGGCATGCACCGCACCAAGCTGCCGCAGCAGAACACTGAGATGCAGTCAACGTCCAAATGGTGCCCGGGAAAAATGTTGTCATTCACAACGATGTGTCCCCACAGTGTCATCCCATCGCTGTGAAATTTACTATGCACGATACCATCAGTATGAAAGTATTCAGCAAATTCCTAATGACATCTCGTGGGAATAGAAGTTGAGATGATGTAACAACGGGCATTCAGGATGCAACCATATCGATTAATTTGCATTAAACCATAAGTCTCCGTTGACGTTCAATGTAACGCAACTAAACTATGCGTGTTCACTGATTACGGTTTATTGTGCACTTTGGCTTTGCACGTACCAGGGACACGGTGAAAGCTGCAGAACCCGCGGTGTATAATCAGCTCATGAGCATGCGCTCGCTGTGCCCCGTGTCTCTATGTTTTACAAGTGCAGTTCTCCCAGCAAGGAGTGTTGTGATTATTCATGGAAAACTGGATAATCACACGCTGAAAAAATTAAACTGCATTTTTTTTTTCAAATCCCACCCCCCATTTTAATGCAGATTAGTTAATTAAGCCCACATTATCATAATTAAATAATATTAATAAAATATATATCAACTTTGATCCAAGTTTAAATTTGCATATTAGACACAGACACTGCAAATAACAACGTGTTTTAAATGGTAATTTGTTTTTAATGTGTAAATAATTAATAGGGGGTTGGCAATTAAGACCTTAGTTGATGACACGTGACATACCCTCCCCCTTTCCTCTGCATTGTCATCAGAGTATGTCAACCACATCTGAACATTAATTGCCAAATATCCTATAATTAGTGAGACATCACATCGCGAGGGCTTCGAGACATGTTTTGACTTCATAGAAGCAGACGCCTTCTGTCGGTGAACGAACGCCTATCAACTCTTTCTCCCCGGGGAGGGGGTCTTTACAAGACAACAACATACTGCACTAAAACTCGGGGAACCATCACAAGTGATTAGTACTGGTACCTGCTTCTATGTTCAAAGGGAACGCAAGTGCTCAGGGGCTACGACTGCTGTGCCGTAAGATGCCGCAACAAAACACCGTGCGCGTTGTCGGGAACAACGCGCCCTCGAAGCGAGATCTTTCGCAATAAACCCGCGAGCCGAGACGCGTTCACGAGTCGCCCTCTGCCGCTGCTGCTGCTGCTGCAGCCCCAGCGGCAATGCACAGGCGCGCGCACGTGGCCACCGCCGTCTGCGCGCACCTTCGACGGAGGAGCAGCGATGCCACGTGAACTCTGCAGATACACTTCCCAGACGGCCGTGTGGCTGGTGGGATGTGTCAAGAACATGTTCACGTGGAGGGACAGATTATAACGGGGGGGGGGGGGGTATTGTCTGCCTGATTTTCTATTCTGTCACTGCAGCGCTCGTTTACTGCCCACTTTCCATAGTACTGTTACCTCTCGATGATCTGCGAGCGGATGAACCGGGTTCGTGCGTTCAGCGTGCTGGTGCCGTGTACGGCGTGGTTTAGTGACGAGTGTAACTGCTCCTCACTCGTAGAGGGTCAGCGACTCACTGCCCACGTGACTGCAAACATGTCAGCGAGCATGTCCACGGAGATGCAATTAAAAGACGACGCCGCGTGGACGTGTTCACTCCCATTCGAGTACGGTAAGCGATACACGCGTGTATGTATAGCACAATATAGATTTGTTTAATTGCACTATCCGTATTTTTTATTTTTTCTGGGCCAAACACCTCCCCCGCAACTTACCCCAGAGCATGGAGAGTTGCATACAAGAATACGAATTTCCCGTCATGCAACACTTTGCGTTATAGAGGAATCCTCTAATCATCATCCTCTAATCCACCGTATGAAAGAAGTTGTACACTCTATGTGTTATTAATGGTCTATGCATGTTGAGAGCAGAGAAAAAGTAGTTGTAAAATAAGTCCTCACATATGCATGGTTTATTTTTCAAAACAGCTCCTGTAAGTTTGTTACATTCACACGATGAGGTCAAACACAGAGCCCTTGGTGCGGCACCACAGTTGTGGAATTGGGGGCACTAAACCAGCTCCATAGCAGGGGAAGAGGAAAGGGTGGAACGGTTCATCTTCTTGGTTCTTTCGGTAAAGTCACGTAGAATAGAAATAATAAAAAAGACAGACTGTCTTCTCGACAGACCTGTTCTCCACCTGAGAATGGCTGCTTGCGTTGTGGCCGAAACGTCGTGAGAATTATTGTATTGTTTTATTTGTATTATTTTATTATTTCCATTCTACGTGACTTTACCGAAAGAACCAAGAAGATGAATCCCTGCAGTCACGAAACCTTTCAATCGAAAGGTGGAACGGTTTCTACGAGGCATGAAACAGGAGCGCGCAGCTTCGTACGTCTCTCCAGAGACTCTGAGCTGCTTCGATAAAGCCGCTTACGTTTGGATCCATAATAGAGGTCATCGGGTTCGATTTCGTAAATCTATAAATGCGTCATTAAACCCGCCACCACCCGACAGCCAATTAGTAAGGGTTGTCGCGTGAACAAAACGTGCCAATTCGTTACTAGTTCAGCACACCGGTGTGTCGGAGAGTAAACCCACGACATTTACAATTCGAGTACGACGTTTCGCCAGTAATTACAACCAGCTTCATCAGGCGATAGTCAGAGTTGTGAAGTCCTCCTGTTTCGGTCTTAAAAACACTGTCACCAAAAAACCCCAAAACCTCTAATATGGATATAGGTCTCGAAAGCCGACGTGTTAAACTGAAGTTTGGCTGTTGGAGCCTTTGGCAATTAAAACCGAGCGTCAATAATCGTAGACGTAGTTTGTTGTGGGGCAACTTGCAGCCCACCCACAGTTCGTAAACACACGGACCATAAAGCTCTTTCTGTCGTCTTCATTGTGCTCAGCGAGTTCACGAGTAGGGGAGTTGTATTGTTAATCTATGCTCCTCGTGTCAGTGCGAGTAGCTGCCACCACCACCGTGTGGCGCTGTCGCACGGCTGAATTTCCCCGGTTTTTTGCCGTTGGGTAAAAAAAAGGGGATTTTTTTTTGGAGAATCAGTTTTGTGTAAAAAATAAACGACATGTCACAGCAATTCGAATTTGTGCACACAACCATAAGTCACAGCAGTTTCCCACGATATAAACCACAATTTGTACAACACGTGTGGACAAAGATAATACATACAGTCCGTATATATACACACACAATAAAAACACAGCACTTGTATGCATGTTGAACTTCTTTCGCACCGTACGTAGCCAACCGTGCTAATCGAAAGTGTGGAGGGGGGGACACTGCATGTAAACAATGCAACTGTGAAGGTGGAACATCACGTGATCTTACGTACCAGATAAAATGCATGGGTTCAATTCCCCACATCGATGACAATACGATTATTTTTAAACGGTAAATAACAGCTACTGATCTATGACTTCTAATGATACGCTATTCTATGCTTGCATATGTTCAGGAGGTAAATGGCAACGTCGAGGTCTGATTGCCACAAGAGAGATTCTCGGGAGAGAGTTGGGGGGGGGGGGGGTCTAAACTTGAATCACTGTGCACCCAATCTGCCCAGCGGTGGTTGGGCGCAATATCCCTCCCTGTCCTGGATGCCGAGACCCAGTCTCTTGGAGGGGCCGAAACTCTTTCCACGTCAAGTTGTGGGCTGGAGGTTCATGTTGACATAGCCTGGAGTGGGCACATCTCCCTCGCTCGGGGCAAGACCCACAATGAATTGGGGACATTGCAGAGGGCAATCTCCGAGACTGCTGAGGCTGCTGGGATTTAAGCAGCCGAGGTTTGGGAGTATGTGGTGAGGGACGATGACGTAGCCTTCAGGGTCCGACACGAGCCACACCTGGGGGCGTTGAGTGCCCTGCAGGGCATTGTGGGGCACCTGCTGCTGCCCTGTGTGTGGAGGGACCGACGCGTCAGTCTGGGTTAAAGTCACCGGGGTTGGGTATGGGACGGAGGCGTTGGATGTAATTCCACATGGAAAGGAGGTTTGTGTTTTAGAATCCAAACCAGATAAAACTGGATCACCTATGCTTGGTTCAGATAAACTGGATTCAGATAAATATGATTCAATTTCATTGAGTTGAGTTGAATTAAATTGAAGTGACTCTAATGCACCTGAATCAGCTTGATCGTAGCTTGGATCAATTTCAATAGCTCTGTCTGAATTTGATTCGAAGTTCATTTTATATTCCCAATATGGATTGAGTCTATCAGATTCAACTGAATCCAGTTCTAATTTAGTTGATTCTGAATTAGCTAAACTGGATTCAATTGAGTCTGCCTCAAAAGCATCTGCATTCATTCTGTTTGACTCAATTAAGCCAGATAGAGATGACTCTGGTTTAGCTAAATTTGGTGGATGCAAATCAAATTCAGCTGCATCCGGATTAAATAAATCTGTCCGAGACAAATCTGTTTTCGCACAAGGGAGCTCAAACAATTCTCCACTAACCCAATACGGTTCAAATGAACCCGACTTGGAATAATCGAGTTCTGCCAATCCCGGGTGAGAAAAATCCATTTTAACCGAATCTGATTCGCCTAAATTGGCTCGAGACATGGCGTCGGACTCCCCAGAGTCGGACGCCGTGTCTCCTTCAGAGAAGCCGCTGTCCACCCTGCGTTTGCGAGCGCCCGCTGTCGCGGCCCTTCGGATGGCCGTTTGCTTGGGGGAGGCGAGTGGATCGCGAGTGGACAGCGAACAATCGTCGACGTCGTCGCCATCACCGGCACCGCCGCTGCCGCCATTGACGCCCTCACGGGGGTGGAGGAGCGGCCTCTGGGAGTCGACTTCGGACAAAACTTCGATGGGGCAAGCGCCGACCTCCGTGTCTTCCGGAAACCCGGGTGAAACTTCCCATGCACAGCCCTGCATTTGGGGAATCGGCGAGGCGGGTGGGGTGGGGTGGGGGAGAAGTTTGCGATTATTGAAAGGAGAACTCATCCACGTGCGCACCTGCTTCTTCAACTGGAAGACTGGCAGCCAGTCACGTGTGGTCCACGAGGCCTCTGGGAGTGGCCCACTGCGAACTGTGGCTCAACCGAGACGCAAATGAGTGACACGAAAGAGAGAGAGATAAACGAGAGAGACACACGAGACCTGGAGTTCAGAGACGAGCAAGATGAAAACGAAGAGAAACAAGAGATAGAGATGACCAGGCGTTTTCGATGTCACAACACGCATGCGACACCGTAAAGTCTCTACCCGTGACATGCGAAGTCACGTGGTGGGCCGCCGGAAAATGTAGTGTCGCCAAAGAGCCCTGGTCTAGACTTGCAATGCCATGTGCGGTGAGGGGTGGCAGGCTTCTTGAGTTGAGTTGTGTTATACGAGGTAGGAAGGAGATGATTAAGGAAGAGTTCCAATGTTGAGCTCTGATGTGGATGGGGGGGGGGAGGAGGAGGTGGGTGAGGAGGCTGCGGAGGACATCCACGCAGTGAGGCAGATGCATGCAAGGTGAGACGGATCGGACAAGTGCGGAGACCGCGTCCCCAGAGATGTTCGAGTTAAAATCCCGAGGAGAGCAACAACCGCCATGGTGGCAGTAGCAGCACAAAGACAAGTAGTAGATGGAGTGATGAAAAAGATGCCGTAAGGACATCGACAATAGCAATAGTAGATGCATAATGAGACAACAGACAATGAGTGGGATATTGTAATACTCACCGTGATAGCAATTTAGAAACGAGGAGCAGACAGATTAGAAGATTTAGAGACGAGAGCAGCTGTAGTAATGATCATTATAGTAGCAGGAGCAGAGTTACAAGCAGGACACTGCCGTCGAAAGAGCCCGAGGGCTGTGTTTGCTGTTAAACACATCGAGTGAGTACGTGCGGACTCGCAAACCTGGTAGCTGTCGCTGAACTCGGACATGAGGCGGTTTAATGGGAGGTCGATGGCGGAGACTGGAGGGAAGAGGCGAGCCTTGAGTCTGCAGCGCGGGGATGGGGGCAGAAGGGTGAGAGAGGTGACTTTGAACGTGTGTGTGTGTCGGCCTTCATAGGTGAACGCTGACAGCGCTTGCCTCAACAGTCTGTTAAGGCTATACAGGGGATCTTTGTCTTTATTGTATGTACATGTCCGAGTGTGTCTGTGTGGGTGTGTATATGTGCGTATGTCTTTGATGAATAAGAGCATGTTGTATGTGCTCATAGGTATACGTTTGTCTTTGTGTGTGTCACATTACCTCTGAAGCTTTGTCTTTGTCACAAAGAGTATCACGACCACCACCACAATAAACAAGACGACCGCAAGGTAAGGTGACCAAGACCTCACGTCTGTGGAGACAGAGACACAAATCCCATTCTCCATGAGCCTCAATTAAGACTCTCATCCTGAAACCCATTCGTCTGCAGGTTTGTCTTGATTGTGCATCTCATTGTTAAATTGTTAACAATCTAGAATGTGATATCGAATCATTGGTTGGTCGACAATATATTGGAAAGCAGTCAAAACAATAACTGACTTGAAAATTAATAAGTGGGCTTTCCAACACGCATATAAAGTTCGGTTAGTGAAAAAAGTTTGTAGTCAATGACTTTAGACGTGCCACCACAACACACTCTGGTGACATAAGCGAACGGTTCTGTTAAAATGAATACACCATCACGCTCGGAGCATTGTGGGATCCAAGACTCTGGTGGCGAGGCCAGGGAATTTAAAGACAGATATTGGCCAAGGCACTTGTTTCAGGGGAAATTTCATGCAGCGTTTCAGGAACAGACATAAACTGTTGTGAATTGATGTTGTTTTGATAACCTTACGCAATTTAACACTAGGTTGTTGTTTTTTTAAGCTGCATCTTCCCATCATCCCGAGGTCCCGCAAGGACAAACCGTGCCGAGGCGAAGCCGTCCCCAGCCGCGCTGCGCTCCAGCCGCTCCAGGAGCCGCGGTACAAGAAGCTGCTGGGCTGGGTCCGCGCCCTGACCCAGTAGCCTCGTCCCGGACTCAACCCCGACATCTCCAGCTGCGTGGACGCCTCGACGGGAACCACCTGCTCGCTCGCTCACGGCCACCGTCCAAACGTTGAGGGACAAGAGTCCAAGGGGCTCATGTTGGGTCTGTTGAAGACACCGAGGGTCCTTGGTTTGAGTCACGGACATCGGTGTCTGTCTCATAAGGTTTCATAACAGTGGCGGCTCCTGCAAAATCTCTCAGGGGGGGCAAATGTCTGGATGATTGATAAGGATAAGGTCCACCCATGCAATGGTATAAATTAACAGCTTAAGCATGTAACGGCAACTTCACTTCTTTAATATTAATGAAAAATACAGTGACTCTTACAATACATCTTGTTTGTTTCTATACTCACTATTAAAACAAACCCCTCAAGTTTCTTTTATTAAAGATTCCACTAGGTGGCGACAAATTATATTGTTGGATGAAACGTGCTTACGTATGATGACGTAAGCACGTATGATGACGTAAGCACGTGTGATGACGTAAGCACGTTAGGGCGAGCCCTCCCGGAAGCCATAGAGAATGCATTGCAGCGCCCCCGTTCGAAAAAAAACATCTTTGAATGTAAGTCTATGGGACCACTCGGGGCGATTCTCAGCCGGAGAGAAATTGCCCAAAAAGAGGCGGTACTCCACAGAACGTAGCATGACGCTGATTGGACTATATCCAGAGGCACAGTGACGGCTAGCGTGACTCTGTGGTTGAATGACATTGGTGGTGCGTCGCCCAATCGCCCTAATGAAGAAACCGCCCCTGTTTCATAATAATATAGGGGGGGGGTTTTGGGGGGGGTTAGAAAAAAAACAATATTATGGATGACATTGGTTGCGAAAGCCTCGGCTTCATAATGGCCGTGTCAGATTTACGGAGGTGCTGGCCTTGGCTGTGCCTCTGGGTTCAAAATGGCCATGAAGCACTGAGATTCTGGAGTTAAGTCCTGCTTGTGGGTATTTCTCATGAATGCACATGTCGGGTTCATAATGGCTTTCTCGGATTCACAATGACCATGCTGGGTTTACGCTGCATATTTCAGGTTCACAATGGCTGTGTCTCACCTTCCAATCGGCCTCTTCCCCTGCATCGGTGTATCCGATCTCATAGCGAAGGTGATTGGTCAGCCTCGGGTCAGGTGGTGACCACGTGACGTCCAGGGTGCCACTGCTTGTCCCCGCATGCAAGGTCACGTGACCTGGAGGATTTGTCTGTACTGAGAGGGAAAGAGTTGCGATAGTGGTTGGATGTGTGTTATTGGTTGCATGTGTAATGATGGCATGATTCATATGAGTGTTTGCATGTATGGTAGAGGTTGCATTCGTATTTCAAGGGGTAACAGGCGTAGTAGCAGGTATACTAATGATTGCATGTGTAATGATGGCATGTATGTATGCATTGAAAAAAACTGTACGTGCCCTTAGTCAATTTGCTGCTGGATTAAGGCCTCCCTGCGAGTTTTGGCATGGGAGGTGTCTGGCCATACTTTACCACGCTTGTCTGGCTCTCCACAACCACTTCATATTTGCTGAGGAATTGAACTCAGGTGGCCAGGTTCACGGCGCAGTGCACTAACCACTTGTTCCATCACTCCAACACAGTGGCACTGTGCCATTAGTTCATTTATAATAGTGGGTGCGTGTGTGGTAGTGGCGTAGAGTTGCGGGTGCATCACAACAGTTGTAGGTTTAGTCGCCGCATGTTTACCCGCGTGTCGGAGCAGTGCCGGACCCCAGGTTGCCACGTTCCAGGTTGAATCCCGCGTCTCCGCTCGCAGTTCGGCCCTCACAGGATCGGGCGTGGCGGCAGGAGGGAGGGAACAGGAGGCGAACTGTGACCCCGGTAGGTTTGGGGCGCACGGCATGCTGCCAGCACTGCAAAGACAAAGATTCCACGTTTAGACATTGAGTCTGTAGAGGCAAGAGCAGGGAGTGAGCCCTAATTATTACCAGCATCATTGTTAATAATGTATTATTTACAAAGCCCAAACAACCATTTCATCATCTTGAATTGTGAAAAAAACAATTGTAGTTGGTGATACAATGGAACGCTTTGGGAATTAACAGAACAACCTATAAAAGCATTTCTGTCTTTGTCTTCATCGTTGATGCAGCAAGTAATAAATAACCTTTTAACATTTTAAAACATGTTCACTTATACACAACATAAAATACATAAGAAGAGAATTGGTCAATGTCATGGCCATTCAATTGTTTGTCATTTAACAATCTACGTGTGCCGTCTTCTTCAGCCACATGTGTAGGCGGGAGTAGCTATGCACATGGCCTGTAAGCCGGCACTGTGGAGGCGAGGGTCGGTGTGATCAGACGCGTCAAACTTCCTTCCCCTGAGCACCGAGGAGCCATGTCTTGGCCAACCAGGAGAAGGCCGATACATCAAAGTGCAGTATCCACCTCTTCCATGTGCATGGGATAGAGATCTACCCCCCATCGCACACCGTGGGGTTTTCTCTGGATACTCCAGTTCCCTCACACATGCATAAACACTCACTCATTAGCCGACAACGTTAACATATATAGAGGACTGCAGAGCTTGGCGAGATGGTGGTTTGGCCACTGCCTGGCTGCATTCGCCATTGTCTGTGGTTCCTCACGCTTCCAATTAGCACGGTTGGCAGGGAACGGTGTGAAAGAAGTTCAACATACAGTACATACATATACATATTAGGACATTTAACTTGTAGTGGAGCTACCTTTTCAGCAAAGGGCAGTGCAGCCCAATGGATGAGTGCGCTGTATTCTAATTGAATGTGTATGCGCCTCACCAGCAACCCGCACTGACACCCGTGTGGTATGGTGTGGTCAAATATCCCGCACGGCGTTGTTTGTGTATGTGGCATTTCCAGGTCCATGCTCACAGATGGGTGTACAGTACCTGGAGTGGTAGGTTAGTGTGAACGTGAGGTTCAGAATGGTCTCCACCCTCCACTCGCAGGCTAACGAGGTCAGGTCCCGCGTGAAGCAGAGAAGAGACAGCAGGTCTGGGGTTGCAGACAACACAGACGATTTTAAGTGTTCGTTATTTGACCGACATTGCCAATGTAGTGTAAAGTAGGAGCCGACACCAGATTGCAGGGGTCTCGTCCTTTATTCCTTTCCTTCCATCCACACCTGTCCCCCAGCCGTCCCAATATCGTTCCCGCCAAAGGCCCCTTCTTCCCGCCCGTTCTCTCCTTATATCTCCTCGATCACCCCTCCCACTAACCCATCTATTGGTGAGAATCCTTCCCCTGACACCCCTACATCAGTAATGACTTCCCGTCAACGTGAAATATGTCTCCACTCCATTGAATAATGGAGCTGCGCTAATTGTGAATTGGGCAGGAATGAGCCCATTTGATAGAAATCATACATTCCCACGACAGGGACTTGTTAATACATAGCCAAAACAACAACAACAACCGACATTTGCCACTAAGTAGCGGTGACGTCACCACGGTGCTTGTGCCAAGCTAGGTGCACTTTGAGGCCAAGTGCAGTGTCGAAGGCTTGCTGACAGGAGGTCACGTGACAGACCCAGGTGCCATGTGCTCTCCACTGTGTCAAATTGCTGCGTTTTAACCACCCGGCGCTCCCCCCATTGTTGTGAGCGTCGCTCCTCTGCTCCACAAAATGGCGACGGTGATCACCCTTGTGGGCCTCACCGAGTCTCATGCCTTTTACTCAGGAGGGCCCTTGCTAGTTTTCACAGTAGGAGGCAATGATTGCTATGTATAATCCAATTTTAAAATTTGGCAAATTTTGGGCATGACGCCAGCACACAATGGCCTATTAGGAAGCATACGACGCTTATTTTTAGGGTTAACACAACCGCATTATTGATCAGGACAGCCTCTGGATTCAAATTGTGGTCGTGTTTAGTGGTCGTGTCAGATCTAGTGTGGAGCAATGAGGGTTATTGTTGTTAGTGGCTGTGCATGTCAGTGACACGACCACGGATAGTGTTCGAGTGGTGGGGGTTTATTGTGAGTGGCTGTGGCAAGTGTGGAGTGCTCGTGTTGAGTGATGGGGGTTATTGTTAGTGGTTGTGGCTAACATCAGGCATAGTGTTGAGTGATATTGTTGAATGATGAGGGTTATTGTTAGTGGTTGTGGATATTGTCAGAGCTAGTGTTGGGTGATGACGGTTATTGTTAGTGGCTGTGGCTAATGTTGAGTGCAAGTGTTGAGCGCTGAGGGTTATATGGTTCGTGATTGTGGCTAGTGTCAGGGCTAGTATTGAGTGATGGGGGTTATTGTTGTTAGTGGTTGAGGCTCGTGTTGAGTGATGGGGGTTATCATTGTTTTGAGTTCTGGGCTAGTGGATGCTGACCCGTGATGTGGGCGGGCCAGGAGCACGCGGTGTGGCTCCACGGACCCCAGGGCCCCCCCATGGAGGCACCGTCCGGGCGAGCGCGCACGCGGACGCAGGCGCGCTTGCCCAGGGGGAGGTCATCCACGAGTAGAGAGGGAGCTCGTGACAGGAGCAGCATCTGCCAGAGTGTGCGCGTCAACGCGTCGTCACCATCGTTAATCCGGTGCTCCCCCACGTCTGTAATCCTCGCCTTCACCGGATCACGCCGACTGGTGTGTTGAAGTATTTTCAAATACCCCCCCACCACCTGAACAACAATTCTCATATAACAGTAACGTAGCTGATAAATGACATCGCTTTAAAATAAATATATTACAAAATGCATCAACAGCATGGTTGTTAACATGAATATATGTTGAACTCCATTCACAATGTGCGTAGCCAACAGTGCTAATCGGATGTGCATCAAAACATCAATATAAAAATATTCTTAATCATCATTGTCATGAACATCACTATAATTTACAACATCGGTATCATCATCATCAACATCTTCATCATTTTAACATCAATGAATCATCATGTTCAACATGGACACCGTTATGATTAACTGACCTCTGTGGCAGGAGTTCTCCACGTGGCAGGTGTTTGAAGCATCGACTTGGCAGGTTTCTCCACGGCGGGTTTAACTGATATATCCAGTTTATCAATCGTAGGTTTCACCACAATGTCACTTTCTTCCGTGTCAGGTTTAACTGTTATGTCAGGTTGAACTCGAGCTGGTTTAAATGTATTTGCTCTGTCAGGTTGAGCTATGTCAGGATTATTAACTCTGTCAGGTTTAACTCCGTCAGGTTTAGCTCCGACAGGTCGTGTAAAGTGCCACGTGGCAGTAGCAGCTGTCGTGGCAGCACCACGTGGCATGGTTGTCAAGGCAACTTGGTAGACCAGGTGACCCGACAGCCCCCGTGTGTCCGGCGGCAGCCAATCAGCTCTCAGCAAGCCTTGACGAGGCCCCGCCCTTGCGGTCACATGATATGGAGCCTCTACGATGACTGGATAGGGAGACAAATGAAAGTGTTAGAACCAAATAATTAGAAAATGTCCTCAAATAACCAATCGAATATTTAACCATTAAAGAATTAATGTGAAATATATGTATGTACACTGAACTTCTTTCGCACCATACATAGCCAACCGTGCAAATCTAAAAGTTAACATCTGAGCTTTAACTTTTTTGGCCTTTGTACATATAATCGAAAACAAAACTAATTACCATTTGTTCATATAGCTTGTTTTAAACACATTTCACCTTTATTTATAAATGTAGCATTCTGTTTTATAATTAATTAATTAATATGGCCGTCATATAACGTTTTTACCATCATTCTTCACGTCTATATTTTCACTTTGTAGGGAAAAAACAGTCCACAAAATCCACCGGCTACTCATCAGACGTATCCCTGACTTCTATGGATTGTTCCTGAAGGTCTCACATCATGTACATGCCACCGCAGCGTCGTCAATCATACAATCTACTTCTGGATGAAAGCCTCTCCACAAGCAGCCGCCACCTCTGCAATGTAATAATCCACGTAGCACCTGCACATTAACCGATTTTATCGCTCCATCTCCTCTATGGATGTAGTTTTGGACGGGTTCCATTCCTTGCATGCCACTCCCTTTGATTTTTTGTCCATTGGCCATCAACCTTTATGTCCATGGCGTGTCCTGTCCAAACCCACTACATTTTATTAAGCGTTTTGAATAACATATATATGTATTTAACCTGCGCATGTTTTCTAATGCAATGTGGCGGTGGGAAGTAGATCAGCGTTCACGTCGTCGTTGGCACCCGTGGGCCCCATCGGGGCAGCTGATGTGCCCACCAACGGAGGGAATTCTGCAAGCCCCCAACTCTCCAATACGGATCCTGGTCTCAATGTCACCCGCAGCTCTGACGACGTGCAGAGCTCCAGCTTCGACACCATCGGACCCGCACTCCTGAGCTCTGCAACCTCAACATCGAGGGTCTCTGCTCGCTTTCAACAGTTGTTCGGCCGTTCAACAGTCACCTGATTTTTTACACCCTTAGTTTCTCACCGCATGTTGTTCAGGTCGCACGCAGACTGGAGAAGGTGGCATGTGACCCGTAGCCACAAACCACAGCGAGAAGTGCAGTGGATGTGGTGCGCCCGGTGCAGAAATATGCTTTGGGGTTGCTGACTCAGATCCGGCTGTCTGAGCTGCCGTGTTTGGCAGTAAATTTGGTGTTGTGCAACGGCCAGTAAAAGTGTGAAGTGGGCACCTCGGGATTTGTCAGAATGTCGCAGCAGAGATGCGAGTTGTGTCCTGTATATGGGAATCTTGATAATACGAATGATAATGATATTATTTATCCAGGGCGCACCGAATTTCAAGACTCTTTCTCAAGAGTGTCCTGCATTGGGATGTTTGGCGAATTCTTTGTTAAAGGAGTATTTTGTGTGTCGAGAGAAGAACTGCCACCTCTGAGATACAAATTACCGAGACTTGGCGAGCAGAAAATCTCTCAATTCCAGAAGAGGGGAGAAATATGCATGTAAATACATTCTCTTGAGTGGTGGATTACTATCACTACGCAGCAACTGGCACAAACCGAGACTTATATCTCAAAATGAGGATGTACCAGAGTACTTGGAAAAACCCACTACCATGCATACAAAAGAAGAACACTCAAAGTCAACACAGACAGGCCCAAAAAGCCACATGCTATACTGCCATCTCTAGGCCACCTCGATGCCCAAATAGATCCGTAGTTTCACAAAACTCTTCACAATCCACCAACTCGTCTCCAAAGAGCTGGATCACATGTGTGCTCCCCCATTCCCCTTTTCAATAAATAAATATACTGTATGTACCCCACACAGAATATGCTAGTTGCACTTTGAGAGCCCTTCATGCAAATCCACTACTGGACAAGGGGCGCCCCACGTCATGTGGGTCGTGGAGGTTATCGTACTACGGCCACGGTAAGTGCAGGTTGGTGATATGGGGTCGGGGAGCATAAACATTGCCCACTGCTGCCCACCACGAAGCCTCGCTGCCCTGTGACGCGCTTATTTGTGGTGGTCGCCCATTCAAGAGGTATCCCGGCTGAAGCCTGCTTAGCCCGAGACCTGACGAGACTGGCTACATTCTGCGTGGTGAAAATATATAATCACTCACTGTGTTTCTCGAGGTAGAACACCCTTTGAACTTGGATCGCCAGGGTCAGATTTGAGGCCAAGGCCAGGTTCAAGGTCACGGTCAGTGGCACATAGTAGTGCACATGGTTTGGGGCGAGAGGACATTCAATCTTAACCCGGCCTTGACCTAATTCCTGCAGGTGGAGCCTCGTGCAGGCAAATGCCTGCTGTTGCCTGGAACGAGACAATTCCAAAGATAAAGATATAATCATGTTGCTTGTGGTTCATAATGGCTAAATAGATGTTGTAGGCAGTGGGAGTGTGTGTGTGGCTATTTTAAAGTGCGGGGTTTGTGGAGTTAGTGGTTAAGCACCCAGTATCCTGGATTTGATTCCCAGCCAAGGCTAACCTCAGTGCCAAGTGATATCTGAACCAGTTCTGGGCTTCCTCTATGTCGATTTAGTGTTAAATGAGTTCCTGACACAATGTGTAAACATCAGTATTGGGGAGATAACGGTGGCCCAGCGTAGTGCTGGCCACACCACCCACTTGTATGCTGTGCCGGCCTTCATAGATGCTCGCAAACGGCACTTGCCCCAACAATGTGAAATGTTAATTCAAGAAACTTTGTTTTGTTTGTCTCCTTAAGAGATTCGTAATGGCTTTGTCGAGTTTATAATGGCTACGTTTGAGTCAATGAGCCAGCATTGCAAAGATTCAGGGTCGAGCCTTGGGTCTGGGCATCTCTGTCAGATATTCATAATGGCTATGTTGAGTTTATCGTGACGTGTGGTTCATAATGTCCGACTCGGGTTCATGATGGCTGCATTGGGGTTGTTTCATAATGGTCATGTCGTGTTTACCGATATGCGAAGCTCATGTTAAATTCATAATGGCCGACGCCTTCCCAGGAGCACGTGACTTCATAGAGCCGGGACCCTGAACACTGAAGGGCAGCTGGATACACACATACAGTATACATTCATAGACACATTAAATAGCAGGTTAAATATCAATACATTCATAGGCACATTAAATAGCAGGTTAAATATCAATACATTCATAGGCACATTAAATAGCAGGTTAAATATCAATGCGGTCTTGTTTTTTTGCGTCACTAGGGGAGCAAATAAAGACCTCAATTAATTAGAAATCCCAAGTTATTCATAGTGACATGAGACGAAATCCAGTGGAAATGTAACTATAGGAGCAACGTCCGTTGACGTTGGTCCAACGTTCGTCCAAAGTCAATCAAAGCTGGCCCAATGTTGGCATGTATGCTGGGAAAAGCGCACGTGGAAATGTACAAACACATCCCGTCTCAGATTTGCCGACAACGTAGCTATTATGATGTCGCCATTATCACGTGAAGTGGGAAACAACGACAGCCCAGTAAACATGGAATGGTGGGCCAACTTTGAGAATCGATTATTGGTTCTGAAAATCAAGAACGGTTAACTGTATCCAGTGGAATGTGAATAGGAAGAGGTGTTTGCCCCTCATGCTTTACCCCACCACAGGGATCTGCCGATCGACCCAGCAACTGTGAGTGACCCCGTGGCCATTGCTGTGGGGAGAGCGGCGGGGCAGTTTGAGAAGCTGCCACCGTCGTTTCAGATGGAAGTGAACCTGCGACCTCTGAACTGCAAGTTCCGCGCGCTAACGAATACACTCGTGTGGCAGCTCCCTTCATTTCTCAGCAAAGAAGGTAAAACACGTGAAGTCTGTTTCTCTAGACAATTATATATTTGCGGCAAACCAGTGACCGGGTTTTTTGTACTAGTTTTATTCGTGCAGTTACCAGTAATGCAAACAAAAAAATGTTTAACAACCCTACATAAAATATCCACCAGAAACGTGGTTATTGACAAAGAATATGGCACAAAAGCTGGAAAATACACAAAGAAGAAATGGCGATTCGCGTTATTAGTTTACATTGAGAGATAAAAAGAGGAATACACGGATTAGAGAACACATGCATTCTAGATTTGAAGTTTTCGTGACTGCAAGGATTCATACTCTTTGGTTTTTTCGGTAAAGTCACGTAGGTAAAAATTAAAATTAATTAAATCACGACGTTTCGGAGGCAACACAAGCTTCCGTCTGTGTTGCCTCCGAAACGTCGTGATTTAATTTATTTTAATGTTTTACCTACGTGACTTTACCGAAAAACCCAAAGAGGAAGAACACATGCAGCTTAGGGACATAATATTGACGGGTTAAGAGAAGCACGTGGGCTTGGGCAGGAGGCGTCATGGCTATAAGGCAGTGATGGACCGTGGGCGAGACTAACGACGGATTGCCAGTCAATGGAGTGAACAAATCCCAGAGGGTGACCACCAGGGAGATGGAGCAATGAAAGCTGCTCGTGTGTAGGTGCTCCATGGATTGTTACATCGCAACATCACGAGATATGGAGACTGGCTGAGGGATGTCTTCTTCGGCTGGAGACACCCGCGAGAGAACTGCAGGGACTTTGCTCTCATGATATCTTGCAGCAGTGGTCATTATTTAGCTTAATAGCAACATTTGAGTAGGATAAACGATCCTACGATCGCCTATTCACACGCTCCTGCGGCTGGGGTGTTGAGGTTACATCTATCTTGACATAGCATCTTTGGGGGGGTGTAATCTGATGTCCACCTGCTGCCAGACGCTGACAAACATTGCCGATGTGTGATTGTAAAGTTCACTCACACCACGTTACTGCAGATTTCACCTGAATGCAAAACGTGTCAGCCTTCATCTTCCCCTCCACGTGGATATGAAGGAATAGAGACGTGAAGGTGGTGCATTTGATTCTCCACAAAGATGCTCACGATCATTTTCACTTTTATAAAGTTACTGTATGTTCGACATGTATATTGAGACAGACACAAATACATAAACAGACTCATACGTAGACACCTACAAAGACAAAGATCCCCCGTTTAGCACTCATATACCATGTGCACACAGTGATGAATTGTATACAAACACACGTGTACACATACGTGTACATATCAGCAGTTAGATTCAAATGTACCCAATGCACACAATCGCTCTGCACGTGCTCGTATCCGTCCACGCAGCAGTCGTCTCACCGGCTTCATCTCTCTCGCTGTCCACGGTCTCCAGCAGCAGCAGTGCCAGCAGCAGCAGAGCCAGCTTGTGATGCTGCATTGAGGCGCAGAGTCTCACGTGCCCCTCTGTGTATCTGTCCCTTCTGTCTTTGTCTCAGTCCATGTATGTGTCTCTCTCACTGCGTGTCTCTGTGTGTGTGTGTCTCTCTTTCACTGCGTGTCTCTGTGTGTGTCTCTCACTGCGTGTCTCTGTGCGTGTCTCTCTCTTTCACTGCGTGTCTCTGTGTGTGTCTCTCTCACTGCGTGTCTCTGTGTGTGTGTGTCTCTCTCACTGCGTGTCTGTGTGTGTGTCTCTCTCTCACTGCGTGTCTCTGTGTGTGTGTGTCTCTCTTTCACTGCGTGTCTGTGTGTGTGTGCGTCTCTCTCTCTCACTGCGTGTCTCTGTGTGTGTGTGTCTCTCTCTCACTGCGTGTCTCTGTGTGTGTGTCTCTCTTTCACTGCGTGTCTGTGTGTGTGTCTCTCTCCCTCACTGCGTGTCTGTGTGTCACGCGGATTTATCTCTCCAATTCTGTTTGCCGAAACGGTACTGGTATTTCCCTCGCAGTGGTTGTTATAGGTGGGTGACGATGTCAAGCGACTACGTTGTATCTGCATTTGGTTGTGTATTTCTTTAGGTATATTTGTCTTCGTTATATCAGTGTCTCGCTTGTGTGCAGCATGTGCCTCTCTACAAGTGCGTGCGTATGCTTTGCATCTGTGTGTGCGCGTAGTTGTTGTTGATGTTGGGTGTGGATGTGGTTTAGGGGTCTGCGTCCTTTTGATAGCGATGTGGTCAAGCACACCCTATACACAGACATATGCATACAGATCTAGAGGCAAAGATCCCCCGTGTAGTCTTTAACAGACTGTTGGGGCAAGTTCTGTTTGCGAGCACCCATTAAGACCGGCACGGCGCACAAGGGGGTAGTGGTGGGGTGGTCAGCACCACGCCGTGGTCTCTCCACTGCTGATCTTTACACACCGTACCGGGTACTCGTTTAAGGCTGAGTCGACTTAGTGAAGGCCCAGGACCGCTTCAGATATTCATTACCGCTGTTCGCCGTGAGCGGGATCGAACTCGGGTCATCGGGTTCATAGCGCAGTGCGCCAATGCCACTACGCTACCGCTCCCCATCGAACACATCTATGTACAATGACATGCAAAGACAAAGATCCCCCCGTATAGGCTTAACAGACTGTTGGGGCAAGTGCTGTTAGCGAGGAGCACCACCGGTGAAGGCCGGCACGGCACACGAGGGGGTGGGTGGCCAGCACCACGCCAGGGAATGCAATGACATGCACACATATACACACATATAGAGACATATAGACACATTCACACATATACACATATACACACATATAGACACACATAGACACATACAGACACATACAGACACATGTAAACACATATACACACATATAAACACATGTAAACACATACAAACACATACAAACACATAAACACATATAGACACATACATCTATGCACAATTATACAATAGTTAAGTGGGGGGGGGGGGGGGGGGGGGACTCAACGCATTTGTCAATACCACTGTGGTCTTAAAAGGAAAAGTATATCGGTGACGTTTCGGGCAATGGCCCTTTTTCATAACACGTATAAAATAAGTGGCATGCGCAGTGTGTCTGTCACTCAACAAGCTGCAGCATGAGCAGATAAGCCAGTTCGCTCAGGGAGCCTCGTCTCGTTTGGCGATTTCGACCTTACAAGGAAATGAGCGAATTGAAACACACAAACGGGCGCGTGTGTTGGCGCATGTGCTAACAACGAAGACAAAGATCCCCCGTGTAGCCTTTAACAGACTTGGGGGCAAGTGACCTCTTGTTCCCCACAGGCCGATGTCCATACCCTGCACTGGCTACTCAGTAAATGCCGAGTCGACCGAGGGAAGGCCCCTTGGGATCGGTTCTGACATCACCCCCCACTGCTAGCCGTGGTCGAGAATCGACCTGGGGTGTCTGCAGCGTGAACATGGCAGCGAGCCGCACGCAGCGGCACAACGCGGCGCCCCAGGCGCACGCGTCCATCGCCCTGGCCAGCGGCACGCCAGCTACACGTGCATGGTTACACGGGGGGGGGGGGGGGGGCTCTTGGAAGGCCGTAATGAACCCCACACGATGTCTCTGTGCATCAAGCAGCCTCGTGTCGGAGAGCAGGTGGATGGAGCGGTACTGAACCACCAACACCAGCGATGAGTGTCTGGGCATCCCCTGGGTTGACTCAGTCTCAACTGAGTACTTGGAGCGGTGTGCAAACACGCAAATAGCCAAATCACCCACCAAGTAACTAAGATGAGTACAACTCGACAGCTAAGCGAGTTGCTGCTGGGTAGTACAATCACGAGGATGGTCGACCCCTGTGCGTAGACAGGTTTGCCATGGGGCTGGCTGAGGCTACACGTGGTTAGTTCCGCAGTATTTGTGACACAAGCCTGGCGACTGCTCACGAGACCCAGGAGGTCACTCGTCAGGTTGGTCTCAACCCAACGCGAGTGAAGGGAGTGAAGGGTTCAAGTGGCGAGGTGCCCACCCTTCACCCCACGGCCCAGCCCCCGTGCCGCTGTGGCGTGCCAAGTTTACCGATGGGCCCACAGAGGCTGGCCATTTGGCGTCCTCGGGTCTAACACCGTTTTGAGACGAGGCTCAAAAGAAAGCCGTCTCTGGTGCGGACCAATCAGTTTCAAAGACAATGCCAATATATTATCAGAGTGTGTTTTTTTTGCATTCTGACCACAAGTATTGTGGTTAATGCAGACATGATTCCTTGTGAAGGGTTTCAGTTTGGTGTTTTAACATCTTAACACAACTGTTTTGTTGCCAGAAAAAAGGGGGAAACCTATTCTGTTATAGAAAGTGGCCAATCTATTTCACCAGAGGTTTTTGGGTTAGGTCGCGTAAACATAAATGTTCCGTTGAACCTCTATTATGGAAATGATAGTTGTTGATTCTTGCTTTGAATCTTGATTTGAAGCTTTCGTGACTGCAGAATCCATACTCTTTGGTTCTTTCGATAAAGTCGCGGAGGTAGAAAATAAAAGAAATCACGACGTTTCGGGCGCAGCACAAGCGTCCGTCATCAGGTGGGAGAGCGTGGCCTGCTGCTGATGAGGCAGACTGTGGATAGTTGTTGCTCCGCCATCTCATCATGAGCCAGACGAAAGACGGCGAGTTGCGCTTCCTCGTGGCGGCCCGCAGAGGGCGCCAACGCCGCGGTGAGGGCGGCGATGCAACTCGGCCGCTCTGGACGTGAAACTGCAGTCCTCGAATTGTCGCCGATCTCGCCCAGAGCCGCCACCAGGGGGCTCTGGTGGGGCTCTGATGGGGGCTGGTGGGGCTCTGGTGGGGGCTGGTGGGGCTCTGGTGGGGGCTGGTGGAGCTCTGGTGGGGGCTGGTGGGGGCTGGTGGGGGCTCTGGTGGGGGCTGGTGGGGGCTCTGGTGGGGCTCTGATGGGGGCTGGTGGGGGCTGGTGGAGCTCTGGTGGGGGCTGGTGGGGGCTCTGGTGGGGCTCTGATGGGGGCTGGTGGGGCTCTGGTGGGGGCTGGTGGAGCTCTGGTGGGGGCTGGTGGGGGCTCTGGTGGGGCTCTGATGGGGGCTGGTGGGGCTCTGGTGGGGGCTGGTGGGGGCTGGTGGGGGCTGGTGGGGGCTCTGGTGGGGGCTCTGGTGGGGGCTGGTGGGGGCTCTGGTGGGGGCTGGTGGGGGCAGGTGGGGGCTGGTGGGGGATCTGGTGGGGGCTGGTGGGGGCTCTGGTGGGGGCTGGTGGGGGCAGGTGGGGGCTGGTGGGGGATCTGGTGGGGGCTCTGGTGGGGGCTCTGGTGGGGGCTGGTGGGGGCTGGTGGGGCTGTGGGGGCTGGTGGGGGCTCTGGTGGGTGCTCTGGTGGGGGCTCTGGTGGCGGCTGGTGGGGGCTCTGGTGGGGGCTGGTGGGGGCTCTGGTGAGGGCTCTGGTGGGGGCTCTGGTGGGGGCTCTGGTGGGGGCTCTGGTGGGGGCTCTGGTGGGGCTCTGGTGGGGGCTGGTGGGGGTTGGTGGGGGCTTTGGTGGGGGATCTGGTGGGGGCTGGTGGGGGCTCTGGTGGGGGCTCTGGTGGGGGCTCTGGTGGGGGCTGGTGGGGGCTCTGGTGGGGGCTCTGGTGGGGGCTCTGGTGGGGGCTCTGGTGGGGGCTCTGGTGGGGGCTCTGGTGGGGGCTCTGGTGGGGGCTCTGGTGGGGGCTGATGGGGGCTGGTGGGGGCTCTGATGGGGGCTCTGGTGGGGGCTGGTGGGGGCTGATGGGGGCTGGTGGGGTCTCTGGTGGGGGCTGGTGGGGGCTGGTAGGGGCTCTGGTGGGGGCTCTGGTGGGGGCTCTGGTGGGGTCTGGTGGGGGCTCTGGTGGGGGCTCTGGTGGGGGCTCTGGTGGGGGCTCTGGTGGGGGCTCTGGTGGGGGCTGGTGGGGGCTCTGGTGGGGGCTGGTGGGGGCTCTGGTGGGGGCTCCGTGTTGTCACTGAACACGCGTCAAGCCCCACAGTTTCAATCAGCGACTTCCTGCTCGCGCAGTAAGCGCACAATCATTCTGCACAGCATGGCAAACTGCTTTAGTGTAAATGTCATTTAAATAGACGATAATTACACCGACCGCGAGTCACTATCGCGCCGTTATTAACTATTAAGCAAAGAGCAGCCGCATGGCTCATTGGGCTAGCACCGCCGTTGCATCAGAATAATGCGTTCTGCTATTTAGAATACCGAGGTTGAATATTAGCCCCAACCACAGTAGTGGAAGAAATCATTTCATGTCCTCTTTCTACCAACAAAGCATCAATTGGACCGGCAAGAAAATTGTACATCACAAAAATCATTCTGCTTAAAATAAAATCTTCAATGAAATGCTCAGTCCTTCAAGGGAACAACTAAAAAACAAACATAACAACAAACGAACGAGTAACCTCCCCATGGCGATCACGGCATGGTGAGGGGGGGGGGGCTTCATCCAGCAGTGGATTGACAAAAGAGTGCAAATCGTAATGTTTTACTTCATGGAACTAACAGTAACATTCTATCAAAAGTGCAGGATACACTCAAAATGCCCAATACGTTCGATTAGCA